CACCTTTTTGCCTGTCCATGAAAGCATCTAGTTTCTTCTTAAAGATAGTCACAGCGCGGGGCAGCCACTACTTCGTCGTCTAACGCATTCCAGCCGTGTGCCGATGTCAATGGTAGGATCGCCCATCCGTTTGAAATGTTGGTACTTTTGTCCCTTTTCCTGTGGAATGACCCATTTAGTCAATTTGTACAGGGCTTTCCATTTATCTTGGGACCACGAGAATGTTGTTTTCAGGTAAACTGAAAATAATTTCATTTTTCATATCGGTTTGAAGATAAAATACTGCTAAGTTGTTGACCCTGACTCCCTGGATCCTGAAACGCGGTACATGGATTGTGGAACTTTATCTTGAAAGTTACTCAATTGTGACTGCACAGAGACCTTTCTGAAGAGAATTTTAGGAATTACGAGAAAACCTCGTGGCCGGCACGTTCGCCTGTTCTACTTTCTTCTCGCATTTTTCTGTGCGGAGAATTATCTCAAAAGTGAAAAGTACTAAGAGATCCCAAAATGTGCAGGTGTTGAAGAAATAACATCAATCGCTGCGTTCATGAGATCCCAGTTGAAACATTGCAGGCTACAATGAACAATGTCTTACTTCGATGCCGAGAGTGGATTAATCAGAATGGCATGTACTTTAAAAGGATTAATGTTGACTAGTAAAAGTGCATGCAGTAGGTATATTTTTTAAATACAAAAACTATACCTGTACATGCTACCGTTTTCCTATAAACGAACATTTAAATAGTCCTCAGATAAATGGAACACACTATGCTTCGAATTCGGTACCATGCCAATTACGTATTGCAGCTCATTCGATATTACGTCACCCGCGTGATAGCGCAGAATTCGACGATGACCATCAATCGCGAGGGGTGACAATACTTCGTACTGGGTACAGGAAAACCTAGCACAGGGGTTCAAACCGCGTGCTTAGCAATTAAAGGAGGACATGCTTTCATGTAACCCGTAAGTGAAGTAACTGGAACAAAAAGAATACCACGACTTCCATTGAAATGCTTTCAGATAGTCATTTGTGAGTCTGGGGAGTGGGGAACACCCCTCCGCGAACATAGATACATCTGAGCAAATGATTAAGAAATAAGGAAAGGCCAGGACCAGCCCTCCTGCTTGCAGTGACGGGAAATAGCAGATTTTATTACGATCAATAATCGAACTTGAAATCGAGATAGGAGCGATCGAAGTTGTGGACGCGGACGTAGCCGTCCTCGCCCCCGCTGCTGTATCCCGTGCCGTCGGGTTGGAAAGCCAAGCTGTTGATGGGACCGAAATGACCCTTCACCCTTCCGAATTCTTCCTCGAACACCAGGTGGAAGAAGCGGGCTTCGAATTTCCCCACTCGACTGCTCGTCTGGGTGACCTCCATCGCCTCTTGCCCTCCGCCCAAGACCACCTGACCGCAACGCTTCCGTCAATCGTCGGAAGAAACGGGATCGAGAAAGAAGCGAGGGGAATTTCCTCTCACGTGCTCGTTGTTGGGGGAGATGGCAGCCGAGTTCACTGGTCTCTCGGTCTTGAAACTCTTGAGTAGGGTCACGGAATCGGTGTCGAAGAGGCGAGCGTATTTGTCCTTGGACGCCGTGATGAACATGGTCCCGTCCGCACTCGTCTGCATATCTCGGATCTCCGCCCCGTGCTCGCTCGTCACGTCCAATCGCCTCCCCATCTGTCTCCGGAGCCGTGTCAACAAAACTGTGGTATTCAGCGACATGCTTTTGCTTCCGTGCACGACAATGAGTCTCGCAACGACCGAAAGGAATCTTATACATTTATGCAAGTTGCAGGAAATTATGTCATCAGCGATAGACTTCTTTAAATACGAACTGCTAAGGAGTACATAAGAAAGAGAAGAACCTCTCCAAAATAACAAAAAGTATGATTTTATGAGTATGAGGAATGAGATCCTCAGGAATTAACTCTAGCTGATGCGAACACGGACATTTTCAGCTTTTCTGAGCACCGAATCTTTCTACTAAAAAGTTACTGCTCTCATCATCTCTTTTAATAGATCCATGAATTAGCAGAAACCCTTAGCTAAGCGTTAAGAATTTTCTTCTCTTGCCTTGGTTTAACCCAGAAGTCACCTTCAGAGAGGTTCACAAAAGGCAGAGACCAGGTAAGCTGGGTGACTTGGATTATTGGAAGGGGGGGGGGGGGGGGGGGAGGTAGTGTAGGGCTAAGGTTAGTCCTTAAAGGAGAAAATGCGTCGCGCTAACACACACACTTGCACACTCTGCAAGGAACTCTGCCTTCCAAAGCTAATTTTCACAAAACTTGCACAGTGCATAAACTGATAAAACATGAGAAAGTCTTTTGAAATTTCATCCAAGTACATTCTGCCAAATGTCAAGTATTATAAGCAACTGACAGGAATTGAAAATATTAAAAGAATGAAGTACTACAGACATATCAGAGTAACTTCATCAGCTGCTTTCTACTCAAATGAGCAAGCCATTCTGATACCAATAAATTCATCAGTTACCACTAAGAAAAGGGGCTTATTGAAACCATCAGCAGCAAAAGGCCAGCAAAAATAATTAATTCTAAAGGAAGAGATGTTTATGTGGCTTGGATGATGTGTCCCACAGTGCAAGGGTGTTTCTTTACTCAAATCATCAATTACCACCTACCGCTCCTGTCCATTTACAATATCAAACTTCCTTGACATAATTGTCCATAACCTTGTCTTGGCATGATGAATTTCAATAGAATTTCACATCTCTTGGATATATTTCAGCATGCAGACAATATGGTCTTTGTGACAGTAGTTGCATTTAGAGTAGATATTTACTTATGAAAATATGGTGGCCTTTCTTAAGTAATACTCTCCATATGCCTTCTCCACCTGAAGCAAAGACTTTAGAATCTGCGGTGGACTCAACCAAGAAATGCCAAATTATGTTCATAGTGTTATGCTGGGACACTGAATAACATTGTGAAACCACTCATTTTGAGTTTTAACATGAATTGCTAGTTGAATATACTCTCCTCAGTTGAACAACTGCTACATAAGGTACATACAAATTTCATTGGTAATATGGTTTACATTTTAAGTTTCATTTACATAAACAACATTAGCATATTTACAAAAAGGGGATACTTTTCCCTAGGAGAGGGGCAAAGGCTGTACATTTCTGTAAATTCAAATAAAAATCATTATTTTACAAATCTGAATCTAAGGCACAGGCAGAAAAAATGCAGTAAGACTCTACTGCCCACAATGAGGATGACAATCGTGTGGGTTTTTTAAATTTCAGATTTCAATAAGAAGCCCTAAGTGGATATGTGAGGTAAAAACACGTTTCCTATAAGCCTTCTTTCTTTTCATGCTAATGTTGGCATTAGTAGAGGGATCATAGATACATAGAACTGCCATTGAGGAAAAACTATCCCCTCAAACTCAGTTCTTCATGAAATGGTATTCAATTATGTCATGCTGGTTTGTTGGGAGGTGTTAGCAGCTTTCCAACACTTATCTCTGATGGACCTTTTCTGGCAGGCCTTTCTTATAATAGCAAGGGCGGTTTCTCTCGTATTTCATTATTATCAACTATTCCTTTGATCCATTCTGCTAATATGTATGGAGTAAAAAACCACTCCACAACTGTTTCATATCATTGTTGTCCATTTTTGGAGGCACTATCTTCCTGGCATCTGAGATTTGGGGATTAAAATTCAGCCATAAGAAATATATCCATTCATATTATTGGCCTTATGAACTTTTTATTAAAGGCAATTTCAGACCATGAAAGCTATATTGAGCTTTCCATTAGAGAAAAATAAAATTAGAGATTGTAATTTCTGTTTGAGGCACTTTTTGGTCCAAGACAAATCATTGTTCCATAATTCAAGCAAATGTAAGTTCAATCTAATCTGAATCAAACCTAACTCTTGCCAAATATATTTTTAGCATGATATAATTCTTTGTTGTGTGATTTTTCACTTGTTTGTATTTTTGTTTCATATACTTTACTGAAGAACAAGCCATGACCTAAAAAAGATTGTTAAAAGGAAAATGAGGTGAGAATACAAGGAAGATGAGACCTTCATGTCCCATTGTACAAGATCTCCATTGGCATGACCAGTGATGACGAAGTTGTCAAGAGTGCCCCATACTGATGCAGTGACTTTGGGTGCACTGGTTTCTGCGCTGCCAGCCACAGGAATTCTAAAGATTGCATCCTCCTCCCCTGAATTATGTAATAATTCCCAAATTTGTCATATGTAAAGAGAATCAAGGCTTCCAAAAGTAAGCATTATTATTTCTCACCTATATTCCCCCTGATGTCAATGAAAATAAGTTCACACGGTTTCCCCATGGTTTCATCAGTAGTATAGATGGCTGTGTTGCCTCCAAAGCTGAATGCACACGTCCTGACTGCAGTCTCTGTCTCGGCCATCCCAAGACATTTGCCTGAGGAGAAAGACAGGAAGAGTATCAACTCAACAAATGGCTCCTGAGATAAATTTTCACACTTTCAAGAAGTCTTTCGAGAGGAGGATCAAGATGACGATTCCTGACCGGTTTCAACATCCCACATGCGAAGAGTATTATCAGAGGACCCTGTGAGGAGATATTGGGTCCTCCAGTCCACATCAAATGTCCACACAGTCCCCGTGTGTCCATCGTATGTCCCTAATCGCTCTCCATTTGAGGAATACCACACATTTGGGCTTTTGTCTTTTGAGGCCGAGAAGAGAAGATCCCCCTCTCGGTTATACTTGATCTTCGTGATGGAACGCTCATGACCGTGCAGCATCAAAGGTTTCTGTCCAATCAATGCCAAGAAATTTCATCATTAATAGGCTTCCTTCAAGTACATAAAAAACATGCATACTAGGTATTTAAAAGCCAAGGGATGTATTTCTGTAAGGGCTGTAAGGGTGGGTATCTTTTGCTGATGGGCAGATTATGATTTGACACATAGCTGGTGGCAATTGCAGCACCAGCCTGCTGCCATATGTTTACAACTTAATGCACCCAGCGAATACTACAAAGAGACTGTTTCCAAAGCTAGACAGTTTGTAATGCAAAATACATTGAAAACTTGATTCTTCATCTACTGTTTCAGCTATTTAAACCATTTACTGAACAAAAAGTTATGCTATTGATGTTGACCTTATATTTTCTACTAAACTATGCTGTGATATCAAAATATCCAGTCTTGATACTTCTTGCTCTTCTGTTCCCATTTCTTGTGAGTAAATACTCAGAGGGTTATTTGGGTACCCCATGTCCAAATATCCCAATCACAAAATACATTTTTTTGTGTTCCACTGGCTTAAGAGTGGCAGAATCATGAAGGTAAACCAATCCTATGACTTATTCACCTACAGATGCCATACTATGCAAGTCAGGGAGTATAGGAGTAAAATTAGCCTATTATAGTGAAAATGCTCAACTCAAAGCAGTGCACAATGTTTTGTGCCAGTCAATGTGGTTCCTCAAGAAGGAAGTTCAATGACATCCAGAAATGTTTATAATTCCAACTCAATAAATATAGCCAAGTATCCATGAAAAGTGTGCATTTTAATTGGAGTATGTATATGTGTAAGTTAAGTGATTTGTGACACTGGGAATCATGCCTCTGGTTTCCAATTTACCTGTTCTGAGCAAAACTGTGGCTAAAAAGTAAACTGCATAACCTGTGGCCTTAAGGTGCCCAAATTCAATTACTCTCTCATATATTAGAAAAGAAGTGGAAGTGTGGAAGGATGGCACTATTTGATGCACTTGTCAATTTCTATCCTATGCTATAAATGTTCTTTCTGGCTGCTTCACCTTTCCATCCAATCACTTTTCTTTACTAGGATCCATGAGAAATCCTGTCATATCAAGGTTACAGATGTGGGTAGCCTTGTCTTTCAAACTCCAACTCTTTGAGTATTTCCTTTACCTCTCCCTACCTCTAATGCCCACTCATGAAAGAATCCATCTGCTTATGGTAATGATATCTGCAAGCCAAACTCTTCAAGGTTTTCCACCACTAAAATGAATGAAAACGAAACTAAAATTTAAAAAAGCGTAAAGCAAGGGGACCCTGCATAGAAGCTGTTATTGCTAACATACTACTGCACTGTTTCTAGAATTTCCTCAGGTATCAGGCCAAAGCCCCATTTGTCATTATTTTGTCAGCTCCCATAACATCTCCAAGTGAGTGTATGCTGAGTTAAGTACTAGAGGTGAAACGGGCCTCTAAAATACCTTGTGAATATCTCAGTTGAAATCATTGGAATTTCACTAGCCATACAAGGCAGGACTGGCATAACAGTCCTCCTTAACACATTACTCATTGATGACATATTGCACTCACAAATATTCAAAAGGAGTACAGATCATATTTTCCCTGAGGTCACATTTATCCCAAATTACTCAGTACTACTATATGAGTTTCATGGAATGCCAAACCCCTCACTTACAGAGGTGAGTGTCTGACATTGAAGCAAGGCATATACAGTATACTTATGTCCACTCCCAACCATACAACTGTTACTGTGGAAGCCAAAGATACACATCAATCTCTTTTTCAAATCTGAGCAATTCCTTTATGCTCTCCTGGAGCAATTGTACAATGCCTGTGGAGGAGGCACATATCTCAGCCTTCCTCAAATTCCTTACCATTTCAAGTCTGGTGATATGATCAGGATAAGCTTATAATAGAACCCAGCACATATTATCAAGGTTTTCCAAAAAAAACTTGCACCTAAAGCAAACCACGTTTTAGCATCTGACCAATCCATGAGATTGCCTAAAACCAATTATGACAAAATGAGAGAATGAAATATGGAACATTCTTTACCTAGCTCAATAAAGATGATGCTCATCTTTGGTGAGCTGAGTCAATGGGAAATGACAAATACTAATTTTTCCAAAAGTATCTGGAAAATCTAGTACCTAACCCTTACTTGTTCCAAATGCAAGCACACATATTATGCACATGCAATCTGACTCAGTTGTGATCAGGTACTCATAAAACCTTGAAGTTTATGAGATGAACACTGTATGAAGAGGTCTTCATATAGTGTAGACCACCCCTACTGCTTTAATTAGCCTAGTGAGTATAAGTGAAAGCTCACTAAATAACCTTTTTTCAATGACTTACCATTATGATTTGATGAGATAAACAACTTTCATATGCACATACACAAGGCAACTTTTATTTCTCCTGAAGCTGACTTGAAGAATCTGAAATTAAAAAAAGTTGGTTTGATGAAACCAATATCACCCTGGGTCTTACATTCGACCTATGGGCACCAAAAAACAGCTTAGGCCTAACGGTTACGTTGATTTGGAAATTAATGTGCCACTTTTACCATGGGCTCCATCGGTCTAACGTTATTTGTGGTACGAATTAATTTGCAAACCTCAATGAAGCCATTAAGTTTGCGTGATTTGTGCGAAAGTAGTATGTACCGCCGGTGCAATGCCGAACGAATAGAAACATGTTATCAGCAGAGTTGAGCCATAAAACGTAAGAAACGAAGCTGACAAATCTCTTCATTCCTCACATTGAAACTCTGCTAGATATAACCTACAAGCTTAGAAGCCGAGCACTTAATTGAACTTAGACCCGTCTTCAATCAAGGTGACGGAAGTTATCCCCGTTGGCTAGGTCTACGGCTAAGCCATCAAAAAAGAATGGCGCTCCACGTTGCGTCCTCCACACGACGTAAGCCGATGAGCATCGCCATATTGCTCCAATCACACGTTGCAGTGGCTTCAGTAAATTGAACCCATCTCGTTCGCTTTCTCAGCTGACTGAGAAAATGATGCCAATAAGACGTTTTGCCCGGTTCCCAAATTCAGCCCAAGGTATGCACACAAATGGCTTGAACGATTTAGACCCTGTGCTCCTTCCTTCCCGTTTCCTACCTTCCCCTGTTTGAGAGCAGCATAGATTGGAATTCGTTCAATTTAATTCGCTTCCATTTCAGAAATATTGGTCCTCATATCGGGTATTAGTACAATTAAAGGCACTTTGGATATCAAAACCGATCTCTTAAACACAAATTACCCTCATTTAGACACCAAAATCACATTCGTATGACTCCAGGATTTGTCATTAATCCGATTTTGGAGACCGGGAGTGGAGGTCCTATCCAAAATTACAAGTAGTACTCATTTTGAGGCATTTAAAGTTTTGCCATAAAATTTATCCCAAATTCCCGTTTAGACGTGAGACACCCTGTTATGAAACAAGGAATAAGTCATTTATCAAAGTTTGAGACTGGAGCAACCATTTCTAAATTTGGCTGCCACGTTGACTCCATACACTCGGGATCGACGGCAGGCCTAAATGTGATCAGCAGGTCGTAAGCTATAATTTAATGCATGTCGTACATGTCTGTATGGGGGTGAATATAACTTCAAAAATATGGTCCTTTTTTTAGGTTCACCGCTCCCCGACGACTTTTTTCTACATCTGGTGAGTCGCCACTCGTTCTTTAATCTTTCATCTAAAGTTTGACACGCTCATGTTTCAGACTGCTTTTATTCTGGTCTGAAAAGTGGTCGAAAAGAAGAGGTAAGAATTTCAATAAGTGGTTCACGAATTTTTCGAGCCTTGGGCTCCATTCGGACGCGACCGGCCTCATCCGGGCCGCACCGAAAGTTTACTGCTACTTATATACAATTCCTTCCGACTAAATGTACTCTTGTCTTCACGGGCTTCGAGAATCATCGATCGAAGCCGTGGTCTTGATGGTCCATAACGATTTTGGCTCGAGTATTGCATTCCCATTTAGCTGCTTACGGGCAGGACCGGATTAAGAAGTTGCGAGGCCCGGGGCAAGTGGATTCTTGGAGCCACACAACACATTTGGCCTGGTGGTGCACGTAGCAAAACTGTCAAGCGCTGATAGTGCAAATTTTGATTCGTAAAATCCGTTCCTTTACGCAAATACTTTACATTTTTAATTTCCTTCGGGGAAAGTAGGGCCTGGGGCAACTGCTCGTATGCCCCCCCCCCCCTCCTTAATCCGGTCCTGCTTTACGGGCTATAAATTTGTTGGTGATTTCTTCTCCATGGGTTATTGGTCGGATAGAGAATGACGCAGGGGCACCCTGTACCTTGTTTCACCAAAAAGCAGCGAACTGCGACTACCTTAAGGCTCGTCCACACTTGGAAATTTTTCTTGCATATAGGCAATGAAAGAATTTCGCGAATAAGAAATTTTGGAAAAAGTCCAGAGCATTAGACATCTTGCATATGAAACTTTCAAAGGTGTTCTCAATGTCAAAGTTTTCTTTGCAAGTCGACTTCGAACTCGGAGGGAAATTGCAAATCTGTGGACGAGCTTCAAGTGGATGAGTGGCGAATCTCAGTGATGAATCTGTTAGAAGAGTCAGCCCATGACCGCAACGGCAACATTCCAAGTCCCATCCTTCAGGGAGGATGCACATCAAATTAGTCGAAAAGAGGAAGTGAATTTGCCCAAATAGAAGTAGGAGGAGAAAATGAAAAGGAATATCTTGCCTGGTGAAGATCGATCGTTTATTTATTTTCAACTACCTCAGTAGAAAAAAAAGAAGGAAGTATTTTAAATTGACAAAAAAAATCTGAGCGAAGGCTCTCCACTCACACGAAGCTACTTAGCAGCTGAAAGCGTGATCGTCGCCGTCGCTGTTTTTTTTTTCACACGATGCGATGCCATCTGACACGAACAAAATGTTAAAACTCCTCTCGATCTCTTGCTAAAGTTGCCTGTTGCAGGGGAAGAGGAAGTTTACTTCCTTCTCTCTTCGCAGCATCGGCCGCTATCGAGAGGGGAAAAAGCGGATCCGGCGAGAAGAGTTTTCAAGAATGAACCGGCGGATCGTGACACGCAGTACAAGTCGAACGCAAGCCGTCCCTGGAAAAATGGTACGTTATCGTAGCACTGACATATTTCTCGAGTTGGAACCGAGAACGATACGAGAGACGCTGTCGCGTTCCGATCGTTGCCATGCTATTATGGCCGACGGAGAGGACCAGGAGAATTCTCGCGAAAGAACGACGGAAAACCGAGTAGTTCTAAAACTTCCGTAGAGGATGGAAGCCGTGCATGGCAGTTGTGGGCAGTCACGATTCTGAGTTTGCATCCGATGGGATGTGTTCGTCGTAGAAACTCCAGGTGTTATTGCATTGCGTACGAAAAACAGTGATGGTCACGCTTTCTCATTCGACCAATATTTGGTTTCATCCTCCATAATACGAAAGTATTGGGTTGGAAAGAAAGTCTTGCAACACTTTCTGACGAAGCCCTGCGGAACGCCCTCAACGCGAAGCCAAACGCCAAAATAAAGTTATAAAATTTTGACAAATTTGCGCAGAGTGTTGCAAGACTTTCTTTCCAACCCAATATTTCCAAAAAGATATTTAAAAATCCCACGATCGTGTACATGGATGCACTCAACCCTTCGAGGAAACTCTGAGGACCTATTTAAGAAAGTTGCACGTTGAGTAGAACCAACCAGGAAATACCGAATTCGGGAATTGAGGTCCCCGCCCACCATAGAGATGGTCCAATACCCAGAGCAGGATGCGATGAGACGAATCGACACGACGAGGCAATCTTGTCGACAAGAAGGGGAAGCCGCCTTTCATGCTGCTTTTTGTATGCGAGACTTCGTCGTTATCATTTCGATTGTTTCGTAGAAATTTGAAGTCTACTCAAATTTGGGTACGGTTTTTAGGTTTATACAACAGGATAGGAACGACACTGGTAGTCTGCAATATGCAGAAGGGAGCTTTGTTGTAGAAAGGTAAAGAGAGTGCAGATCCAGAAGTCGATGGATGTTCGCCCGACTTGGGAGAAAAAAAGAGGGGGGGAGGGGGGCGGAACGTCGGCCACACGTGAGGAGAGGGTGCGCAACGTTGGGGAAGGAGGTCGGCCCAGTTGGGAAGAGCGCGCGCAACGTTGCAGGGTCGTGTTCATCGGGAGATTAAGTTCTGGCCCGACGTCGTCCTTTATTTACGGGAATCCCGCACGATCGTGCAACGTACCGTTCCTCATTTCTTTCTTGGATGTTTTCTCGGATGTTTTGGATGTTTCACAAACGACACGATGAGACCGCGTCGTTGCGAGAAACGCCTCTGATGCGTTCGTAGAAGAATCCATTTTCGCGCTTCGTCCGAAGCAGGTGGTTCGTTCGTCGTCGGGCAAAGGGGTGGTCGAAACGCCTGCCGTTCCACTCCCTTTGAAGTCATACATAAAAAAGAGAAAAAACCCTTTCTCTCCTCATTCTGGATTTCGTCTGCGGTGTGTCACGCATCTCTCTCCCGTGTGCAAGTCTCGTTTTCTTTCGAGGCCTCTCGGACGACAGTGCTTCGGGTATCGCCGTCTCTCTCCTGTTCGCCCCGTTCTTTCGATCGTCTCGGGTACGGAGGCCCGTCGCTATGGGTAGGAGACCCATCACGCTCTCCGACACGCGAGCAATTCCATGCCCCAGCTCTCGGAGTGGCCCCTGTTGGCCCTGCCATCATGGCTCCTTCCGGTCCTCCTCCCGTCTGCCGGCTTCGCGATCGAAGAACGTCTTTTCCGAGCGCGATGGAAGAGAAAAACCGTATCTCCCCGAAGCGGTCGTGCGCTTTCCCGCCTCTACGCCTCTTCCCGGACTCCGTCGACCCCGGCTGTGAGTGATTCCTTTTCTATCTCCACTTTCCTCCGACTATCAGTGCGATTCTCATCGAGATAAATACGTGTGGTGACCACCGTCGGCTGTCGGATCTCCGAGTGCCGTCGTTCTCTCCCTTTCTTAACCCCTAAACTGTGCTACTTCCACCATCCATTCCTATTCTTCAGTACGGATCGTGGCGTCATTCCGCTCGACACAGTCGAAGGGGTTAACTTGACGGCCGTGATCTTCTCGGCTCTGAATTCCGAATCCATCCTCTTTCCTCGCGTTCACCATAGATTTCGTATCGTGTTGACTCTTTAAATTCCACGCTCGAGTATACTCGTGATAGCTCGCACGCACCTAAGGAAACTCGGGAGTTAAAGGGTTAAGGGCACTCTGGGAAGTCGAATAAGGAAAACGAATCGGGAAGAACTTCTTTTAACGCTTCACTTTGCCTGTTATCTAAAGGGAGTCGGGATCTCCTTGTGTGCGTCACTATAAATTGCGATAGAAAGAGGCGTCCGGGTGTCGCCCGTCCAGGTTCAGGCCCCACTACTCCCTTGTGTGTACGGGTAGAACTTATTGAGGTTATTGGGTTACAAATTAGACG